CATTTTGGCCAGGAGCCATTTTCTTGGAGCGCTTCAATAAAAGGAAACAAAACCGGCACTTCGTGTCTGATGTCCTTCATTGACCTCAGACCCAGGGCTGGGCTCCAAAAATTTTAGCAATGGGTTCTCTGCCTGGTGGCTGGGTGGGCCTGGCCATGGTGGGCGTGGCCTAGTCGGCCTCCTGCACCACGGCAGGGAGGGCATTTTTTTGCCCTCCCGGGGCTCCGAAGGCTTTCCTCGAGCCTCCAGGAGGGCAAAAATGGCCTCCCTGGGCTCCAGAGGCTCTCTGGAAGCTGGAAACAGGCCTGTTTCCCGGCCTTTCAGAGCCTCCAGGAGGCCTGTTTTTCACCCTCCCTGAGCCTCCACACGGGCCCTGTGCTTACCTGCATCCAAAAGGGCCACGTGGGGACTCCAGGGAGGGGAGGGGAGGGGTGGGCGGGGCCAGCCAGGAGTGGGATTTGGGGGTTCTCCAAACTGTGCAGAATCTTAGCTAGGGGTTCTCCTGAACCCCTGCGAACCCCAAGCACCCACCCCTGCTCAGACCTGAACTGGGGGCAACACAGGAAGTTGTATGTTGAGGACTATCGGTATCCCCCAGGTCAGTGACAGGCCTTTCCGTTGCACTCTTGCACCTGCAAAAGCTAAACACTTGAATTTGAGCTTCCAGTTTCTCCTTTTCAACTCAAAGCTCCTTCATGCCTTCGTGGTTGGGAAGGCAACGTTGGAAAGAGAGGTTGTGAAAGTCACCTGCTTCGAGGGACAGACGAGGGATATTATCCAGCAAATAGATTAATAAATCAATTTTCCTGCAGAACTGCCAGCAAGAAAGACTTTAGTTCCTTTCAATTTTCGCAACCACTCGGCAACCACTGAAGAGAAAACACGTCCTGGCCCTGTGATCGTATGCCAAGCGGATTCTGCCGCCTTCCAGCCAAACATGGTTTCTGGGAAGCTGCTGGCAATGTTGGCCTTGAGCCCAGATAAGGTGCATGGCAGACAAAAGTCTGCCTTTGCAAACATCCCAGCCATGGAGAGACTCTGTTTGGGTAGCAGGAGGAGGAGGAGGAAGAAGAAGAAGAGGTGGAAGAGGGAGGAGGAGGATAAGAAGGAGGAGGGAGAAGAAAAGGAGGAAGAGGAGGAGGAGGAGGAGGAGAAGGAGAAGGAGAAGGAGAAGGAGGAGGAGGGGAAAGAAGGGCAGCCAAAAAATGATTTGCCTTTTGGTCAAATATCGTGACAATATTTTCTGCCTCACATCTTCCACACTAGGTTCACATTAAGTTCTTGATCAGTTTAGCATCAGTATCCTCTTCCATCAAGGACCCCGGACATGGCAGGTGAAGGAGAGGCAGAAAAAAGTAAACTAGGAGTAGCTACAAGGGATTAGCATTCCCTTGCAGCCAGTCCTAGGAGTAGTTTACTCCAACTAGTCTACTCCAATTAGTTCTATGCCAAGGAGGAATCCCTGGATTCTCAGCATCTCTATATCAAAGCCAGAAGCTTAAGTGGGAGTAGAGTTACCTTCCGGGTAACATGCTTGCAAAAATATCCTCCCAAATGGGAACAGAAACCTAAGTGGCATAGTGGTTAGAAGGTAGTATTGCAGGCTAACTCACTGCTCACTGCCAGGAGTCTGATCCTGACCGGCTCAAGGTTGACTCAGCCTTCCATCCTTCCGAGGTCGGTAAAACGAGGACCCAGATTGTTGGGGGCAAATAGGCTGACTGTAAAACCCCTCCGAGAAGGCTGTAAAAGCACTGTGAAGTCTAAATGCTATTAGTGCTATTGCTAATTTCATTTAATGGAAAGTGAACTCAAATTCTGCTGGCCAACGTGAAGCCAGCCAGGCTGTTTTTCCTGGCCATAGCATGAAAATGGCTTGCTGTCATCTTTTTCTGATGCTGATGTGGAATGACTGCCCAGTTTCACTCCAAGAATTGGCATTTCCGGGTGTTTTGACATCCAAATATTAATCAGGCCCATGCCGGGTTAACTTCCAAGCCCAGACAGGGTGAGCCGAATGCTGCCATTGCATTTTCACAGAATTAAAATGAAATAGAATTCATATTATGACTCTTTAGTAGTGCATATATTCACTGCCCCTAAGCAAATAGCTTTGCTGACTGGGGAATTCTGAGTGTTGAAGTCCGTACATCCTAAAGTGGATGAATTTGAGAAACAATGCTCTAGTTATTTTTCCTCTTCTAGTATGTAGACAATCAGCTAACCCCTATTTCTGAACTTTAAACAAACAACTTATTTAGAGCATGTGAGGGATGGAAGCAAATTTTTGAAAAAACAAGATACAAACCGTATTATCGATTACGGCAATTCCTCTTATTTTTCTGGCTAAGAAAGGACAGGCTGCCCTACTCATCCTACCCCCCCCCCTGCAAACTTTCTATGTCATTCACTGTTATGCAAACATCCATCTTCATAAAGGCAGCATTTCTCATTATTTCATTTCCATGCCAAGAAAAGCTTCACTCGCGGAATTTCCATCTGTCTAGGGAGCAAGCAAATGCTTCTCCTTGCAGTGATTAGGAATGCAAACAATGTGGAGTTTAAGATTTTGGCACATAGCTTTCCTTGGCATCTTGCCACGCTTCTAAATGTTCCCGCTAGCTGAGAAAAAGAGTAATTTTTGAAATTCTCTCTCTGTGTGTGACTTCAATTCTTGTCAGTTTAGAGGGCCTTTTCAACCTGATTTTTCAAACGGTGCCCACATCACTTCCTTGAAAGGAAGAAGTTTGTGAATCTATCCTGGCACAGATTATCCAAAAAACTCAGCTCTACCTTCTGTTTTCTTATTGCATTCTAGTTTCAACATTTAGATTAGAAAAGCCTCCCCACCCCCAAAAAAAGCCAATGTAATCCTTGGTTGCATTAACAGAGGGATAGAATCAAGATCACGTGAACAGACATGAACACCAGGCCCTATCCAACAAAATGAAATTCAGTGTAGAGAAAAGTAAGTTTTTACACTTAGGCAAGAAATATCAAATGTACAGGAACAGATTAGGTGAAACCTGGCTCAATAGCAGTTACTGTGAGAGTCCTGTGAGATCTTGGAGTCCTAGTAGACAATCACTTAAATATGAGCTAGCAGTGTGCGGCAGTTGTCAAAAAAGCCAACACAATCCTTGGTTGCATTAAGAGAGGGAAAAACTCAAGATCATGTGAAGTGTTCACTACTTTACATTATGATTTTGATTGACTGTTTCCTAGTAGGATTTGATTGCTTATTGTACCCTATGACTATTATTAAGTGTTATTTATACCTTATGATTCTTGATGAATGCATCTTTTGTTTTATTTACACTGAGAGCAAATGCACTAAGACAAATTGCTTGTGTGTCTAATCACACTTGGCCAATAAATCTATTCTATTCTATTCTATTCTATTCTATTCTATTCTATTCTATTCTATTCTATTCTATTCTATTTATAACACCTTAGTAAGACCACTCTTGGAATACTGCATCCAGTTTTGGTCTGGAATGGGACAACTCACTGCAGCTAACTTGCTGTGGCCAACTCAACATGGCCAACTCACCGAGGGACAATTTAACAATTCAAGTTAATTATTTAAAATAAATAAAAAATATTTTAAATTTTTGTCATTCGTATTTCATTCTGTCCTTCTTTTTGCATCCTTTCTTTAAGGATTCTATTCCACCATTTCTTTGATATTAGCATAACTTTTGTCCTGCACTTTGTCCTGTGGTGAGTTGGCCGCGGTGAGTTGGCCATGGCTAGTTGGCCATGACCAGTTGGCCACAGTGGGAAAGAATGCAGAGAAGAGCAACAAAGATGATTAGGGGTCTAGAGGCTAAAACATATGAGAAATATTTGCAGGAATTGGGTATAGCTAGCTAGCCGAATGACGGGAAGGATGAGGGATGATACGCCAGCAGTTTTCCAATATTTCGGAAGTGGACTGTTCCAAAAGAAGAAGGAATCAACCTATTCTCCAGAGAACCCGAGGGTAGGATAAGAAGTAAGAGACGGAAGGTTATCATGCTTTGAGGGCTACTTTAGATCTCTGAAAAAAGAGGTCCAACCTAAAATTAAGGAGAAATTAATTAATCCAATTAATCAATGGAACGCTTGCCTCCAGAAGTTGTGGCTGCTCCATCACTGGATGTCAGGATTCTGGCAGTTACCCCCATTTAAGTCCATGAATCTCAAGCCAAAATTCCAAAACTTCAAAAGGATTTATTGGGAGTTAACATGTCTGGCACTGCCTGAGTGTAGCCGACTCTGAGACACCTCATTCATTATCACCCTTGACCCTGGTTTTCCCTCCACCCCCTGGGTGTATCATAATTCATATTCTCCAATGGGACACATCCATAGCCAAGAGTCATCAATCACACTCTCCGGTTAGAATTTTGTGCGGTAGAAACTTCAGTCACCTAGTTACTATCTTTGAAAACATTGATGGAATGCAGTTTGGGTTTTGCAAGTTACCGCACTGCTCCCCCCCTCCCTTTCTGTTGGCAACTCTAACAAGACCATAGAAATATTTTACGAGTTGACACTTGGAGGTGCTACAGGTCAACATCATATGCAGTAAGTCTTCCACTGCTTAGCCTGAATCTCCTTCCCTATAATTCAGGGGTGTCAAACTCAAGGCCCATGGGCTGCATCCGGTCCACGGGGTGCTTAGATCTGACCTGCTGGACCACCCTGGAATTAGCGAGGGTGCTTCTTCTAAGCGAAAATGGAGCTCAGGAGGGCTGCATGCACCCCAGCCCTCAGGTCCATTTCCACTGTCAGAGGGCTGCAGGAGGCAGTGACAGCTGAAAATGGGGCGTTGAGCTGGCCACGCCCCCTGGCCACCTCAAGGTCAAACATAACCCTGATGCTGCCCTCAATGAAATTGAGTTTGACACCCCTGCTATATATAATTAATGATTCATTAATTCTGGTCCCGCTCTTTGAGGCAGCAGAAGGTAAATCTCCTGGATGACGACCCTTCAAATATTTGGAGACTACTGCTGTATTTCTTCTCATTCCCCCCACCTGTAGTTTAAAATCAACATCTGGAAATCGGCAACTATTATTTTCTAATTGGTGCATCTCTGCAGGGAGGAAGGGGGTTTTCTTTGACCTGAAACCATCCCTCCCTAATCTCAGGTGCTTTTTGGGACCATCTGTGGTTACAACCTAATAAGAAGAGGGTGTGGGGGGAAATCACTCTTCACATGCTCAAAAGGCATCCAGGGAGCCATGAGAAGCCTGGTTGGGAAATCAGAGTCTTTTAGAGCAGGGGGTCTCCAACCTTGGCAACTTTACGACTTGTGGACTTCAACTCCTAGAATTTCCTCAGCCGGCATATGCATATGCTGGCTGAGGAATTCTGGGAGTTGAAGTCCACAAGTCGTAAAGTTGCCACGGTTGGAGAAACCTGTTTTAGAGCTGAAATAGCAGACGTACCTTCCCTCGGATCTCTCCTTGGGGGTTCGCTTTGGTGCTGACTTGCAGGAAGGCTGTGCCTTGGGCTAAGTGCCGAAGCAGCTCTGCGTCCAAGTCCTTCACCACTCCCTGGGCCTAAGAAGGAAAAACAAGTACCTCAACAGAGTTCCAGGACAGGACGCAGGGAATTCTCAACTTAACAACCCGGAATACTGCATCCAGTTTTGGTCACCACACTATAAAAAAAAGAGGTTGAGACTCTAGGAAAAAGTGCAGAGAAGAGCAACCAGGAGGATGAGGGGACTGGAGGCTAAAACATAGGAAGAATTGTTGCAGGAACTGGGCCTGGCTAGTCCAGTGAAGAGAAGGACCAGGGGAGACATGATAGCAGTCTTCCAATATTTGAGGGGCTGCCGTAGAGAGGAAGGGGGTCAAGCTATTTTCCAAGGTACCTGAAGGCCAGACAAGAAATAATGGATGGCAGCAAACAGACCAATAAAACCCCTTCCTATTTCCCCCATAGCAACAACCTTGTGAGGTGGGCTGGGCTAAGAGAGAGGGGGAATAATGGGAATAATTTATTCTGAGTCTATGCGGCCATTCCCCAGAGTGGGTGTTCAGTGAACCTCTGGCAAAAGACACAGCAAGCTTAATTTCCAAACGCAGGGAAAAATGGAACAAGCTCAGGCAAATTGTTCATAGGTTCCATGCTGGCCTTACCCGTTCTTTCCTTGGGCTACCTACCAAGAAGGAGCTCTCTGGAAAAAATTAAGCTGGCAGAACATTAAACTGAGAGCAGATAATTAGATGCATAGTGTTGGAGGGAGGGAGGGACAGAGAGAAAGAGATAATGAGATAGAGAAATAGATAGATAGATATGGAGGAAGGGAGGGAGACAGGGACTGAGAGACAGAGAGATAGAAAGATAATGAAAGAGATAAATAGATGGATAGATAGATGATAGATGGATGGATGGATGGATGGATGGATAGATAGATAGATAAACAGACAGACAGACAGACAGACAGACAGACAGACAGACACTGAGAGACAGAGAGATAGAGATAACGAGAGAGAGAAATAGATGATAGATAGAAAGATAGATAGGGAGGGAGGGACGGAGGGACGGACGGACTAAGAGACAGAGAGAGAAATAATGAGAGAGAGAGAGATGGAAGGAGGAAGGGAGACAGGGACTGAGAGACAGATAGAGAGAGATAATGAGAGAGAAATAGATGGATGATAGATAGATAGATAGATAGATAGATAGATAGATAGATAGATAGATAGATAGATAGATAGATAGATAGATATAGATGGATAGATGGATAGATGGATAGATGGATATAGATAGATAGATAGACGCACACACAGAGAGAGACATGGAGAGATAGAGAAAGAGGGATACATGGATAGACTGATAAACAGACAGACAGCAGGACAACACATTTCCAGCCAAAAGCTGGAAACCACTTACCACTAAACCACTTACCTCTGTGCCATAGAAACTTCTCAGCAGCCTCCTGTGCTCGGGGAGGCTGGTCTCGTGAATCTCTCCCAGTTCGGCAAAGCCATGCAGGTGAGCGCTCACGGTGCCATCATCTGCCCTGCCCAGGCCGGCCACCACAATTTCATAGTGCAGATGGCAGTGACTGTCCAAGGACACCCAGGCGCGTCCAGCAGAGCCCGTGTGCACCGCAGGGGATACAAATTGGCCGGCCAGAAGGATAGGAAATTCTACAGGACGAAAGACACACAAAGTGATCTATTCCCGAGTGCCGGTTTGTGGTCTTATTAACAGGGGAAGGCGCCCAATGCTTTGGCTCCCATCTCCCCCGATCCTTTAGCCACTTGCCATACTGGCCAGGCCTGACTGCAGCACATCAGAAGCCCTTTACCCATAAAGGAGAATATCAGGGTTGACATGATGGTGCTCTCTGAGCATGCTTGTTTTCTTGCAGACGTTTCATGACCCAACTAGGTAACACCATCAGTGCTAGTAAGGAGTGCTGTTTGCTGTCAAGTTTATGTTCTGGTGGCTTTCTCAACACATAGACAGAATTAACCATAGTTTCAATTGGAAAAAATGTGACATTCCTAGACCAGGCCAAGTCCCCCCCCCAAAACCCAGGAATTTCTAGAAGCCTGGTGCTCTGACAAATTATTTTATCATATTATTTTGCGAAGCTTCTTCTCCGGTAACATCGAATTGCTAACTAGGGCATACAAAACCTTTGCCGGACCAATCCTTGAATACAGCTCGTCTACCTGCAACCCGCACTGTATATTGGACAATTGAGTGGGTTCAGAGATATTTCTCAAGAAAAGTACTCCACTCCTCCACTTACAATAGAATTCCCTATGCGTCCAGGCTTGAAATTTTGGGCTCGGACAATCTGGAACTGCGCCATCTGCGGTCCAATCTAAGCATAATACACAAAATTGTCTGCTACAATGACTTGCCTGTCAATGACTACTTCAGCTTCAACCACAACAATACACGGGCAAAACAACCAATACGAACTCAAGGTGAACTGCTCCAAACTGGATTGCAGAAAATACGACTTCAGCCACGGAGCGGTCAACGCCTGGATCGTCCTACGCGACTCTGTTGTTACAGCCTCAAACTGTCTACCGTGGACCTCGCCCCATTCTTAAGAGGTCCTTAAAGGGGGCGTGCATAAGAGCACCAGCCGTCCCTGCCTTACTGTCCCCGTTTGTCTGTATTTATTCCCTTTGACCTTGTTTATGTTCATACTTGCTTTCTTGTACATGTTTGACAAACAAATAAAATAAATACTAAATAAAAATAAAATAGATCAGCCATCAACAGACACATAGACATCAACAACATCTACAGACTATGCAAAGGAAGCAGTCAACCAGCCCCAAAGAGAAAAATACTACAGCACCCCCGCTCCCCCCACCAGTGATCCAAAGCCAGATCAGCATAGATTAACTCCAAGGTTAACTTCAGATAAACAATCAAGTAAGCGATACCCCAGTCCAGAAACTCCCAAAGAGCCCTTAGTAAACAACCCAACCAAAAAAATCCACACCCACACAGACAGGCAAGACACCAGAATATAAACTGACAGCAAACGGCACTCCCTTACTAGCACTGATGATGTTACCTAGTTGGGTCATGAAATGTCTACAAGAAAAGAAGCAAGCTCAAAGAGCACCAAGGAAGCCCTTTAAGTTAACCTTTGCAGCTTGGAGGCCTGGGGTGGATAAGAGAACTGCGCCGTGTGAGCTGTGGGCTGGTGGGTGCATGCGTGTGCATGCAGCTCTTGCGCAAGTGCCAAGCCAGGCCTCACGTGCGCAGCTCAACCTGCATGAGCAGTGGGCTGGCACGCACCTGTGGGATTGCCCTCCTGCCTGCCACATGGGCAAATTGAGCAGCATGTGTACGTTCACACGATCAGCCCAGTCACTTGTGCAGCCCAATTCTTACTAGGGCAAGGCCTAATAGTGGGCTGCGGCCCAGAGGTTGGGGGCTCCTGTTGTGGACTTCAACTCCCAGAATTCCTCAGTCAGTATGGCTGGCTGAGGAATTCTGGGAGTTGAAGTCCATAAGTCTTAAAATTGCCAAGTCTTGTGGACCAGTGGTCCCCATCTTTGTGGATTGGAGGCCTGAGGCAGGAAGAGAACTGGGCCATGCAAATGGCAGGAGGGGACCCCTGTTGTGGACTTCAACTCCCAGAATTCCTCAGTATAGCTGGCTGAGGAATTCTGGGAGTTGAAGTCCACAAGTCTTATTAAAGTTGCCAAGTTTGCCCTCCCCCCACCCCCCCACACACACATTATCTGGCTCCGCAATTTCACACACTTTGCATACGAGTACCTTGATAACGGGCCAAGCGTCCGTTGTAGAGCATGGAGTTTATCTGTCCACGCAATTCTCCATCCTCAAAGTCCTTGGTGGCGACATTTAAGAAGAGCTCGTTCTGCAGCAGCATGTGGGCATCACGCCCGCTGGCTTGTGTCCAGGAGCCACTGGCCTGAAAATAACAAAGATGGCACGAGAGAGAATCAAATGTACAAGGCTTGGGGTTTTTTTTTGTTTTTGTTTTTTGTCGAGTGTGAATTCCAAGAGCGGGCAAAGAGGAACAATGCATTTCACACATTTTCTGATGTTTGCTGCACCAAGCTGGCTGCCTGTCTCCAATCCCCAAGACCACCCACCCTTCTGCCAGCCAACGCTCACCGTGCCATCCCTGTAGCTGTGGGTCATGTCATACAAAATGCTGCGTTTATTTCTTCGGCGGGGTTTGGTTTCCAAGGTGACGCCAATCACCTCGCTTCCTGTCCCGGCTACCTGGATCTAGACAGAAGATTGTCCCAAAGGAATGTTCAAAGCCACATTAACTGAATAACAGAATAAAAGAATGTCAGAAAGAACCAACAGAGGAACACAATCACAGGATAAGAGAGTTGGAAAGGGACCTCGGAGATCTTCTAGTCCAGGGATTTCTGGATTTCTTTGAGGGCCGGATCAGCATCGTACTTCTCCGCTGTGGGCCGGCCAGGTGGGGGGGAGACAGGAAGGACATCTCCTGCAGCACCCTGCCAGTCAAAACAGGGTGTGTGTGGTGGGGGGGGTCGTGTGTGCCCACCCGTACCCTGTTTTCGGCCTGGATGGCCTCCTGCAGCACTTTGCCAGGGGCTCCCACACTCCATTTTGGCTGGCAGAGTGCCGCAGGAGGCTATCCAGGCTGAAAACGGGGCATTTAGGGGAGGAGCTGCATGCAACTCCCTCGTGCCCCATTTTGGCTGCCAGAGGCACTGTCGTGCCCCTGGTGGAGACTGACTCTGAGGGAGAGGAGGAACAGCCGACAGGGAGTGGAAGTGTGGCTCCGGAGGTTGGGGAAGAGGCTGGGGAAGGGCAGACAGAGGAGGACCCAGGTCCATCCCCTCTCCATCCTAGGGCACGCTGGGAGGAGAGGATAAGGGAGAGACGTGGTCTACTCGGGAGGAGAGGGCCTTGATCCTCTTCATGGGGCTGCAGCTGTGACAACTGAATAAGAGGACGGACATGCATACGGGCGAACGCTGGAAACAAAGCGTGGAAATATCTCTAGTTTATGGTTCCTCTCTGAGTTTGGTGTCCTTCCCAGTGTGTGTTATCTGTGGACGTCCTCCAGCCCTCATCTTGCATGGTTTATGTTGCTTTTTTTCCCTTCTTCTTGTAACTGTTTGTGTGGGAGTTTTTTGTCTTCCGACAAGAATATTCAGAGCTTGGAAGCAAAGTGAAGGAATAAAAGAGACTTCACCTGTTTTCTGTGACTGCGTTTGTTTTGTATCCCACCCTGGGTCATCACAGGTACCATGGGCCGGTCCTTTGCTATTTCCAGGCTGGCCCCACATGCCAGATTTAAGTAGCCTGCAGGCCGTATGCGGCCCATGGGCCTTGAGTTTGATACTTCTGTTCTAGTCCAACCTCCTACTCAAACAGGAGACCCTAAGCCATTTCATACAAATGGTTGTCCAATCTCTTCTTAAAAACTTCCAGTGTTGGAGCCTTCACAACTTCTGGAGGCAAAATTGTTCCACTGCTTAATTGTTCTCCCTGTCAGGAAATTCCTTCTTAATTCTAGGTTGCTTCTCTCCTTGATAGTTTCCATCCGTTGCTTCATTGACCTTGATATTTCTTGTGTTAATGTACTTTTCCCCATCTGTTCACAACAAAACACAAACTTGCCAAAGTTGGCAGCAGCTTTCTTCCCTGCTGTGTCCCGATGACAACGTCCCCAATTCTAATGGAGTACAGATAGTCTTCAACTTGCAACGGTTTATTTAGTGACTATTCGAAGTTACAAATGCATTGGAAACAGTAACGCATTATATCATTTTATTAATTGATTATTTGATTATTTTCTTCTATTATTAGTTTTATTTTTTATATATGCTGTTTTTATATTCATGTAAGCCGCCTTGAGTCGCCATGTGCGAATAGGCAGCAATATAAATTTTCTAAATAAGTAAATAAACCCATCACCCTTTCCTTACACTTACAACCATTGCAGCGTCCCAGGAGGTCACAAGGTCACAAAAGATTATCATATGATCTCGGGACACTGCAACCACCATAAATATGAACCAAGTGTCCACATTTTGATCATGTGACCATAGGGATGCTTGCAATGGTCATAAGACTGAAAAACGGCCATACGTCCTTTTTTTTCCAGTGCCGTTATAACTTCAAAGCCACCAAGTGAATGGTTGCAAGTGGAGGATTGCCTGTATGCAGTATAGCATCATCAGGGACTTCCAACAAGGTGTTTAGGAGCTGTACACAATTGTGAGGCCAAAATTGTGCTCTCCTGCTATGATCTCAAGTGCAAGCTATCAGCCATGCCAGCAAAAGTTGTCTCCTAGTGTTGTGGCTCGACAGTGGCTAGCGGAGCTGGCAGCAGAGTCAGACAGTGAAGAGGTTGGGGAGGAACCTGGGCCAGTCCTGGAGGCTGAGAAAGGCTCGGGCGAGGGCTCTGCGTCAGAGGCAGAGATGGAGCCAGGGCAAAGGCTGGCAGTTATCAGCTGCCTTCGGAGTCGGACAGCAGTGAGGTGGGGGAGCAGCTGGAGCTGGTTCCCAGCCTGCGCGTGCACAGAGCTGCCAAAAGGAAGGAACAATTAAGAACTCAGGGTCAATGTGGGAGTAAGGCCACAGGTGAATTGTGAATGACCCCTCCCATAGGGATTAAAAGAGAAGCAAAAGGGGAGGGGGCTTTTGCAGGAAACAATTCGTTCGTTGCAGCATTGTGAAGATCTGTTTGTGCATCTCAGGGACTCTGTGCCTGAGTCCTTCCTTGTCAGCACTACATTTGAAAATATTTACTTGGCAGCACTCCAGGCTAGATAAGGTCTGTGCTTATAATTAGACCCTTGAAAAACTGTTTGCCAGGCCTTTGGCTGAAGGTGAATGCAAGAAATCCACCTTCATTTAATAAAAGGAGTTTTGCCGGGACAAAAAGTCTGCTTAGTGCTTTTTGGGGGAAGCCTAGGTCAGAACACCTACCTGGTATTCCCATGTCCCATTTTCATGTAGCACAACCTTGGCAGAGCCCACTGCCCCTGTGTGAGTGGGTATCAAGGCATTGGCTCCACAAAGCACACTCTGTATGGCTGGAAGAGAAAGAGGGAGAGAAAGAAAGCGAGAGAGAGAGAGAGAAGGAGAGAGAAGTGATGTTTTTAGGATGACACAACATCGTTAGGTGAGCATGCTGATGGGGGAATTCTGGGAGTTGAAGTCCACATATCTTACAATTATGTGTAGAGTAGTTACAACCCAGATTTGAAATTCCGACAGAGGGAGGATTCTCGTGGTTATGTGACTGTACAGGTAGTCCTCGACTTATGACCACAATGGAGCCCAAAATTTCTGACATGAAGTGAGACCATGGTTAAGTAAAGTTTGCCCCACATTATGGCACTTTCTTTGCCATAGTTATGATTTTGATGTCAGGGTCTCGACGATTGCCCTAATTAAATCATGAGCTTCGAGCCAGCTTTAAAAAGAATTCAAAAGATTTATTAGGAGCAACACGTCCGGCACTAACCCCTATGAAGCCAATTCTTGAGATACGTAATTTACTATCATTACTATCACCTATGACCCTGTTTCTCCCCCCCCCCCAACCCTCTGAGTTTGTCATATATCAGATTCTCCAACGAAACACCTTCACGGGCTGGGTGTCATTCAATCACGTTCTCCAAAGAAAGATTTTTGCATGCGGAAGATCCAGTAGCCTAGGCTACAATCTCCACAAGATAAGCGTGGAATGTGCTTCTGGCCTTCATCTGCCGCACTGCTCCCTCAGGCCTTTCCCCCCCTCCTTATAATGTCAACTTGGAAACAGGCATAGGAATGATTGATGAGTTGACATTTGATCATGTGGCCATTGGGTCGTAAGTATGAAAAACGCTCATTTTTTTTTCAGTGCCATTCTAACGTCAAACGTTTACTAAATAAATGGTTGTAAGCAGGGAGGGGATTCAAGAATCCCAGCAACCGGTTCGCTGCACGGTTGCTGGGTGGGCGTGGCCATGGCGGGTGGAGCCTATAGGAACTTCCAGTTTTCGGTTTCCGGTGGGCGTCCAGAGCCCAAGGGAGGCCATTTTCACCCTCCCAAGGGTCCAGAGGCCTCTCCCCGGCCTCTGGACGCCCACCAGAAGGTACAAACAGGCCCATTCTGCCACTTTTGGTTTTTCCAGGAAGGCCGTTTTTTGGCCGGGCCTTTGGAAGGATGAAAATGGCCTCCTCTGGGCTCTGGAGGCCCTTCAGAAGCCGGAAAGAGGCCTGTTTCCAGACTGCCAGAAGGCCCAGTTTTCCTCCTCCCAGAGCCTCCGCGCAGACCCTGCACTTACTTCCATCGAAAATGGTTCGCATGGAGACTCCTGGGAGGGGAGGGGTGTGGTGGGTGGGGCCAGCCATCAATTGAAATACCAGTTCGGCAAACCAGATGTAACTTTAACATCCAGTTCACCCAAACCGGTCTGAACCAGTAGAGTCCCACCCCTGGTTGTAAGTTGTTGAGGTAATTCCCCGTTAGGAGAATGAGCACATACAGGGAGACGTATTTGAGAGTAGTGTTTGAATAATACACATACAGCACACAGATACAGTGTACAGTAAATGTAGGTTTTTACTTCCAGAAAGGTTTAAGCAAAAGTCCAAAATAAGCAATCCAAAGTCATTCACAAGTTAAATCAGTCAGTTTTCATCCAGGGATAATCCAAATATCAAATTCCAGTGTCAAAAACAGTTCAGTATCAGACTTACATCAAATCCAATAATATCAGTCAATTAGGAAAAATGGAGGAACAGCAATACTTTCCAACAGAAGGAAACAGAGATACTCACTCAGACACACTCTCTTCTGAGACTAAGACCAAACAACCCGTGTTTCTGGCTCCATCTTATGGCCGTTTGAGAAACCACACCCAACTAAAGTTTTGCATTTTCTTAAAGATACAGTTTTAAAATGTTTATCTTGGTTTATATATTTCTAACCCAAATAGCTGTTAGGTGACTTATATTCCTAACATAAGTCATGGACGGCCAGTATTTTAAGTTCATGAAACTGATCTCTCTCTTTTTTTTCCTGGCTACATCAGTGCCAAAAGCTCAGAAACTCTACGAGGAGAAAAAGTAGCCGGGATGAATAAAGTCCCATTGGACCCCACACGGTCACTCACTGTCACAGCTTCTCCGGATCGCGATGTGCCCAGCTAACTTGCGACGGACTCCACTTTCCACCTCTGCGGTCATCCTCAGCTGTCCTTGAGCCAGCCAGCGCATCTCCTGACTTCCCAGTTCCATCAGCACCTCTGCAAAATCGGGGTCCTGGGGAATGACAGCCAAAGCAGGCAAGCAAACAGCAGCAGCTTCATTAAGTGTTCCCCAAGCCTCTCCCCAAAAAACAAGGTTTTAAAATGTCGGCTTACCTGTAAGGTGACATTAGCCAGAACCTGCCTGAGAACATTGTCCTGGTGTAGGATTTGCACCCTGAGAGGGATCCGATCGGATTCTGCAAGGAAGCGGAGAGACACAATTCATGTCACATGGTTAGTCCTCGACTTACAATCATTCCTTTAAGGACCGTTTGAAATTAGCATTGCGCTGAAAAAAGTTGTAACCAGTCCTTGCACTAACGACCATCGCGGGATGTCCATGGCCACACGATTGCAATCTGGTTGCTTGGCAACCAGCTCACATTTCAGACTGTGGCAGGATCCCAGGGTTAGAACACTTCATCAGTAGAACAACTTGCCTCCAAGTAAGAGGTAAGCAGAGACTGGACAGCCAGTTGTCTGAAATGGTATAGGCCGCAGGGGTCTTCAAACTTGGCAGCTTTAAGACTTGTGGACTTCAATTCCCAGAATTCCTCCTCCAGTCATGTTAGCTCAGGAATTCTGGGAGTTAAAGTCCACAAGTTAATTAAACTTGCCAAGTTTGAAGACCCTTGGTGTAGGACAGTGGTGGCTAACCTTTTTGGGCTCCTGTGCCGAGAAGGCAATGCGTGCAGTCCCCCCGCCCTCTGTGCATGCGCGGGGTCACCCCCGCTGGCCCCTTTCTGGAAATACAGGAAGTGACGAAACTGGCCTGTTTTTCGGCCTCCAAAGGCTGCAGAGGCTTCCCTCGAGCCTCCGGGAAGCCGAAAAAGGCCTCAAACAGGCTGAAAATCAGCTGGGAGGCGTGCGCATGGACAGTGAGGTAAGTTTGGCTGGGGCTCGCGTGCTGGTGTTAGGGATAACATTGTTTACCCTAACTGGTTTGGGTAAAAAATAATAAATAAGTTATCATGGTTTGTTGGTTAAAGTGTGTGTAACTTTAACTACAAGAATGTAATTAAGGGTGTGGTTGTAAAAGCACCATAAAAGAAGCAAGTCAATTGCAGGTCTCTCTCTCTGGCTTAATGATCCCTAATTACTGGATGGATTGATGACTGCGTTGTTTTTCTTACTGGAACGGAGGAGAGAAAGGAGTGTTGATTTCTCAATGGAGAGAAGAGATAATACGGACTGATTTATTGTAAGTGAACTGACATTGGCTATTCAACATGGACTTTGCAAATTGAGTATCCTCGACTGGACTGACTAAAATGATACATGACTAATGGACCATTTATTTTGACCATGCTATAATTCCTAATGGAATAAACTATATTTTTGATAGCACAAGCGTATCTGTTTTTTACTGCGTGTTAACTAAAATACAAACTTATCTCACACATTTACCTGTCTGCCTATCTGACTACGCTACACATTCTGTTTAGTTTGTTTTCCTTAACACTCGTTGGGGAATTCAGGCTTAACAGCTGGCACAAATGGCTCTGCATGCCATAGGCTCGCCATCATGGGTATAGGGTTTCCTACCTGAGCAAGGGGTTGGACTAGAAGACCTCCAAGGTCCCTTCAAACTTTGTTATTCTATTCTATTCTATTCTATTCTATTCTATTCTATTCTATTCTA